ATAGTTTGTAACAATGCATTGTACCTTTCAAAATAGCAAGAAGAGAGGACTTTAAATGTTCCCAACACACAGAAATGATAAAGACTCATCTGGGCATGATAGCTAATGCCTGTAATCTCAGCACTTTGGGAGGTCGAGGCAGGTGGATCATGAGGTCAGGAGTTCGAGACCAGCCTGTCCAACATGGTGAAACCTCATCTCTACTAAAAATACAAAAAATTAGCCAGGCATGGTTGCACGTGCCTGTAGTCCCAGCTACTCGGGAGGCTGAGGCAGGAGAATTGCTGCAACCCAGGAGGTGGAGATTGCAGTGAGCTTAGATCGCACCACTGCACTCCATCCTGGGAGACAGAGCGAGACTCTGTCTCAAACAAACAAACAAACAAACAAAATGATGAAGACTTGAGGTGATGTATACTCTAAATACCCTGACTTCATCAATATACATACTATGCATGCAATGAAATAGCACATATACCCTATAAATATATACAATTATTATGTATCAATTTAAAAGCATGTATGTAATGTAAGACTGTACTTTCAGGGATCACTTCTATAGTTTGTCACTAGAGAAGTTTCTCTGAATGGGTAGAGATAAAAAGCATGTATGTACTGTGTATATAAATGCGCCAGAAATTTCTGGAAGTATATACACACAAATATACACACAAATTTATTGCCAGTCATTACCTATGGGGAAGGAAGGGAAGAGTTAAGGAGGGGAGGGAGAATGAGATGGAGTGGGGCAGGACAGGGCAGGACACAGCAGGGGCACTTTAAATGTTGTCATTTAGAGAGCACAGTGTTGTGACTACTTGAGTTCAAATCCAGATTCTGGTATTTCATATCTGGGTATTCTTGGGTAACTTACTTCTTTTTCTTCAGTTTCTTTTTTTTTTTTTTTTTTAAGATGGGGTTTCACCATGATGGCCAGGCTGGTGTTGAACTCCTGACCTCAGGTGATCCACCCACCTTGGCCTCCCAAAGTGCTGGGATTACAGGCATGAGCCACTGTGCCCGGCCTTTCTTCAGTTTCTTAATTAAAAAAAAAGAAAGAAAGAAAATACTATCTACTTTAATAAGTAATTCTGAGAATTAAATATGTTAATACCTGAATGCACGTGTTGGTACATGGTAAGTCCTCAATAAATGTTAGCTATTATGATTGTCATTATGCTTCTGTGTTGTTTGAATATTACATGATTTGGAATATTCACGTACTTCCTTTGAAAAAGCCAAGAAAAAGGGGCCAGTAGAGAGTGAGAGGTTGAAAATGGAAAAGAGGTAATAGTAGGTTGAGTATGGCTAGTGAGGAGACCTGTACGTGAATGGGATCTACAATGCACATGGAGGAATTACTTCTAGATTGGAAGAGGGATACCTTTCATTTTAACTGTAGAAAAGGATGGCTGTGAATATGTCTCCAGTTTGGTAGTAGGAAGTTGGTTTCCCATCTGGGGACTTCTATCTTATCTTTAGGAGGTGAGTTCTTTGGGGCAGCTGAGGAGTTGGAGTTTTGAGGAAAATGAAGATTGAGAAGAACCATTTGGGAAAATGAGAGAGTGAGTTGAAAACATGACAGAATCCCCAGTATTGGAGGTCCACTTGATGTTGGTGACCACGAATTCAGAGTGGTACAAATCTGTTCATCTATGTGACTTTCTCTTGCAGTGCTTAACACCCTGGGGGTAGGGGTGAGAGGAAAGGCTGTGAACCAGATGCCAGCATCTTCGATGAATGAGCACAGGACAGCAAAGAGGTGGAGTCAAGGTGTAACCAAATATCATGAAACTCAGAGGAAGAAGGATCAGGGGGTTTTGCCTGAGGGTGGAGGAGGAATGGTTTGAAAGTTGCAGTGTGGTTGGAAGAAGATTCCCACCTTACCTTCTCCCTATGCAGTACATGCGGTGTGTTGGTATAAATCACTTTCACTGGAAAAGGCTGTAAGGGAAGCTCTATCCTTATGGGAAACCTCGGAACATGGATATTCAGGGATGAGTTTGTGGATTGCAGAAGAGTTTGTTAATCATGGAATAGTGTTCCAGGAGGCACAGCTGAAGCATGTAAGGAGTGAAGGTAGAAGTGGGAGGTCAGGATCAGGGAGAAGAAGCACAAAGCAATATGGGAATGCAGTTAGAAGACAAGAACAACAATAATAATGAAACATAACTTAATAATAACAATAATCTAACAGTGCTTTGCATAGATCACCTCATTTAACCCTCATAAAACCTCATGAAGAATAGACCTTAATTTTACAGATGAGAAGACAGGCACAGAGCTCAAGTGATTTGCCCAAGGTCACAAAGTAGATATGTCAAACTGGATGCTTACATGTTGAATGATGACAGAGGAAAAGAGGGATGTGAATGAGGTATGGTGGGTTCGGCTCATCACAAATTTGGTTAGATGGTTAGTCCTGCCATTTTCTGATAGACAGGGGGCTCTCAGGTCTCTCCAAATTTAGCTGTATTTGGACCTGGAGGCAGAAGTTGCTCTTTTATTGGTGTACCTTATATTGCTACGTGTGGAAGGATCCAGGCAGTGGCATGACCAGTACATTTTCTCACCTGTGCTTTGCGGAGTGATTGCTGGTAGGGGCAGTTGTGGGGTTTTCAGATGTGTCTTGCCCTAGTTGGGCATATAAAGTCAGGTTGCCGCTGCCTCTAAGGTATAAGGCTGAGAGGCGGTTTGTGGGAAATGTGAACCTACTGGAAGACTTCACAGGCTGAAGATTCTGAGATATGAGGCCCAGCAGGGGTCTGGCAGTGGCCCAATTTTTTCTTGCAGTGAAAGCATCTCCTCCAGTGTTCAAAGCTTTGGCCTAGCTCCTAAAGAAACCTTTCTTTGCTAGACAATCTGAAGGGTTTGGGTGCCATGCTTGGTGCTCAAGGAAATTTATAAAAAAGAGCAGGAGGCCATATTGCAAACTTCCTTGGGCAGTATTTCAGAGCCTTGTGTCAAGATGACCCTGTAAAATCCTTTCAGAATTCTAAGAAGGCAAACACAATTGTTAAATATTTAATGCTTATTACAGCTACATTACTTATTTTAGTAAAATGTATGATAGACTTGGTTTTCTGTGCTCTGTGCTACATGTACATCAAGGACCCTTGTAAGATAAATTTCACAAAACATTTACATACAAGTTACAGGACAGATAACATGAATGTCTAAAACATAAAGGTCATTTATAACTATTACATGAATAAATGAGGTATTGTTTTAATTTTTGAAGAGGTTTATTTTGAAGCATTTCTTTTTTAATGATATATGGTTAGTTGTAGCAATGATTTATTTGAAGATGAGTTCTTTGTCAGGAGCACACCCTCAATTACAGCCTTGGAAAAACAGAATCCACTTTATGATAATACCGCTTACAACACAATGTCCAGAAATGCATTGCAGTGAAAAGTGCCCTGCTTATGTACCTGTATAGCTGGGTTATGAATGAAAGGTACTTATGCACATGTACTGATCTGAATAGCTCATTAATACTAATAACCTAATATAGCATTTGTCATCATTCAGATTTAGTTTCTGTGATTGTCAGAGTGTATGGAAGTAGATTAAAATATCTATGTGGATATGGTTATATGTCAATTCCCATGCTTGTAAAATCTGTCATAACTTAGATAGCATATGTATAATTTTTATAGAATTAAAATTTATGGGCCGGGTGTGGTGGCTCAC